GAGCATCTGTATCTTGGAAGCAATCGTGTGTCTGACATGGGTGTGCAATCTCTCGTGAGAGAGGTCGAGTAGTAGAGGTGGAGTAGAGGGTGGTATTCGATGGAAAATTCAATTCTGCATCTGACCTATCAGCCATTTTTAAAATACTAAGAGCTTCTTTTATTTAACAATTAAAATGTCACACCTTCAGATTGAAGTCCTTCTTTCATTGTGTCGCTTTTCGGATTCTTTCTTTGCCCGTTTCTGACAGATGGCAATCTTTCACGTAGAATATCAGTGATCGATTGTGTTCGAGCATGTCGCAGAGAGAATCGACACGCGAATCAGTCGCCAACTTGTTCGCGGAGAGAGCCTAAATCCCTCCATGTGAACTGATTTCAATTAAAAACGCTCAAAGAAAATTGATTCAAATACGATGTGGCGGCCCATTTAATTTTGATTTCAATCAGATTCATTTTCACATGAACAAAGCGCCTGCTATCTACGGTGTAAAGTCTCAAACGCGCTCAAATTCTCAGAGATTTCAGCATTTGACAAGGATTGTAGGTGCAGATAATGCAAAATTTTATTGGAATTTGTTTCTGGCATTATTATACATATTCAGATTCAGCTTAACGAGCTGATTACGTATAACACCTTTCGAGCCTTCAAAAGTCATTTCTTCATGGAGAAAAACTCAAATTACTAAGAGGACCGCAAAAATACAAAAAACCGTCCTCTATGGTGGAATTGACTTTTTGAGCTTGTATTGCAAAATGGAAGGTTCGAGCTATATTTTTCTAAATCAGCATTGAAAACTGATTTACAAAAAGGTTTTCAGCTCATTTCGGAGGTAAACAGTGGTCCGCCATGGACGTCCGAACCAACGGCTATCAACTGAGTGGCGCGAATCACCTATTAATAAATTCACTATTCACTCAATAAGCATCGGAATGGGTTCAAGCCTTCAGAATATAGAGTATTTAAGCTATTCTATATCCTATTTATAGGAGATCTTAAAAGAAAGTTTACAAAATCCTAGGGCTTTTCAAAAGGGTTTCTGTAAAACCTATTAACACAAATATGCGTTTTCGATTTTTTCGATTTTATAATCCCATTTAGCGGAGAAAATCGACCAGGTCTTAAAGCTCTGAGCTCCTTCTGATGTTTATTGAGTGAATAGTAAATGATCGGTGACTACCAATAGTCAGCGCGTGCCAGTCCCGGGACTCGCAAGAAATCCGACACAACACCCGAGCCGAGGAAAACCAAGGTCTCACTTGACTCTCATTTTGAAGAGGATACCTTGAAACCTAAAAACCCCAGCCAAAAACTATTTATTTTGAACACGGTGCTATGCATCAAAGTGGAATCGAAATGTATTTTCTGGTGTTCCAGAATATCAGCCTTCTTTTCTTGTATCATAAATTCACTACAAACCTTTTTTCCTGTCACAAACAAAGATTTTACTAAAAGTAAAAGAAAGAGGGGAAAGTTTGATTTCTTCGCCTTGGTACAGGAAACGAAAGGGGGCTATTCGACTTTCTCTGTTCGGATGAAACAGAAAAACCACTTTACTTCAACATAAACCAGATCTAAAGTCATAATATGTGATTTGGACCAAATCACACAAATTTGCCTAAGTGTCACAAAAGTGCGGTTAGAAAATGATGATTTGGGGCAAAATCCCTAAAAGAAAAAAAACCTCCCGCGATCGCTTGAGCCTATGAAGAGTCTTAAATATAGTCAGTTGATAGAGCTTTTCGAAAACTGCAAAATGGCCATTTTCTCTTTTTTCATATCGCAAAATATAAGTGACTGACATTGAAAAACCTGTTTTTTCGGTTTGAAAGTAATCGATATTGAAGCTTTCCCGTATTTCCTTTATATTTTTTTATTCCTATAGTATATAAGAAAATGTTCAATATGTTTTGTGTAGAGAACTGAATGAGGCTTCTTTTAAAAAAGATTGAGACTTGGCGATCAACCTTGACTCAGATATCGAGAAAATACTGAATGAGACAGGACTTCTGGGCCGCCCTTTATATAATTTTTAATACTTATTTTTTATTAGAGCATACAGAAGTTTGCAAAGTCCATTGAACTATTTACTCAATCTAATGGACTCGGACTGGACCGGACTAGACTTTTTTAGCCCATGGACTGGACTGGACTCAAAAATTTGAGTCCATACGGAGCTCTGATTGACAGTCGAGACAAAGACTATTCATTCGAATAGAAATCAATAGGAACAGATCATTACTGGTTTTTTACCCAAGCTCAAAGTATTTCTACTCAAAATGGGATTTAAAATTAGTGACAACAGGGAACATTTTCTAACATTCGGCATCTCTATCTAACACTTCCATTCAATGAACATTTTTGGTCTATCGTCCCAAAACTCGATCAATTGATTTTACTGCGCGTATGCACGGACATGTGTGCTAATGCTGAATATTAACTACAAGCTTTGCTCGACTGTGCATCGCGCCTCTCAACGTTGATGTACAACTCGCGGGCATCGTGGTCGTCGCAGTCACAAGTGCCACTATTCGAGAATTTTAATGTAATGATCCGTCGACTTGATTTGCAACAATACAATCAGTGATTTGATGAACAACAATGTGCTCATTTGAGCTGTTCTCCGCTAGGTATTCACTGTGAAGTGCTTCTAATAAAGGCCAAAAATCGAACAAGTATACTCCATCTTGTTAAGACAATGACCAAGCTTCGTGCGTTAACTGTTCAATGTCTAGATGATAAACGTAGAGGATTATTTCCCACCAGAGCTTCGTATGGACTGGACTCAGATTTTTTGGATTTCATGGACTCGGACTGGACTGGACTAGACTTTTTTAGTCCATGGACTGGACTGGACTCAAAATTTGAGTCCATACGGAGCTCTGTTTTCCACTCGATGATAATTATCTAGACAATCGATTCTCACCGAGCCAAGAAGAGCTTGTGGAGTGGTTGCGAAATCGCTTACTAATCATGATTTTGATCTCTAGAGACATGCCAGAGGAAAAAAATACTCGACTGTGGCTTCGTTGATACAGAGATGCTTTTGCTCTTCAAAGTTGAAAGTGGAGTTGCTCGATTGAAAAGATTCCAAATGAAGCTAAAGCATATTTTATACGAGAAAGATCTTTTCTCCATGTACCCCTTCCCACAGTTTTGTTAAATGCATCGATTTTTTGTGCTGTATTATATACACATGGGCTGTGAATCACAGCCCATGTGAAGTATGATCTTGCAGTGATCACAGGCTGTGATCACTGCAAGATCATACTTCCTTCTTAAAATGCTCCTTGTCGATTTCAAGAACTCGAGTAAAATATATTTGTCGCAATAGAAATTATTCGAAACAATCTATTTCTTTACATTGAGCGAGAATCAATGACACTGCATAAGTTCTACTTTCTATCCAGATCACGAGAAACCCGTCTGAGCGCATTTGAATATTAATCGTGTTTGATACCAGTCCCCGAATATGTATATCGGTGAATACGACGAACAACTCTGTTTATGTAAAACTTATCCTCACACTGCCCTCCCACCACCACCACCGCCACACAGAACAGTATATCGTTCGGCTCAGCTTTTGAGGCTGATTCTGAATATGACATTGTTATTGTATAAAAACTGAGTCTAATGGAGAAAATTGAGAATTACGCGTAGACTACCAATTTTTTCCTGGTTTTTGAGGAAAAATCTTTAAAACGTTTTCGAAATGATTTTTGCGCAGAATTTTAAAATTAGTTTTTGACAGAGCTCGCTTTGCTCTATCTACCCTGAACGTGTGAAGCCTGGATCACGTTCGTCCAAGGAAAAAACTGGGCGAAAAGTTTTGCATGAAAATCGCGATTTCTTCTGAACGATTCAATACTGTTTGATAAAATTTTTTATTAAATGATTCATATAAAGATACATCTTTTCCGAAAATTTCGTTGAAAAATATTGCATGATTCGAGCAAAAAGTGGATTTTATTGACTTTTCATAAAGCTCAACCCTTATAAAGCGACACGTATAACTCGGAAAGGAAATACTTTTAGAGCGCCATCTTTTGGCTGTAAGCTGGTTGACATTGGTTCTATATATGATAAAAATTACAGCCCGATCGGTGACATCAAGTATCTGATCGTTTCGTATACTGTCGGCTTTTCTCGGACAATGGCTCTTAAAATCTTTCGAGCATATTCCTATAGTGAAAAACAAGAATCGATCAACCAAAAAACATTCTGCTGAAAAAAACCTGAGTGTTCGTAAACAAACACTAAATTCTGCTGGTGAGAGCTAAATTCTGCTGAGGAATCTAGAATTCTACTTTAGCTGGAATTTTGCCATTGCTGGAAAGTTTTCTGGAATACCCCTCGAGCAGAGCTCTGAGTCTTGGCGAATTTTTACTAAAAATATTTTCAGTATCGTCATCTAAAAGAGCATGGAATTCTGAAAAGAATGAAGCGTCACACAGCTCTCCACGATCTTTCGTTACAAAGTTACAGGCATCAGAAAATCCAGGAAAATGTGCTTCTACTTGTTGCTTAGCGCTTTTTCGTAAATTATACTATTTCTTTGGATGCCTGTTATCTTCTGATGCCTGTAACTTTGCAACGAAAGATCGTGGAGAGCTGTGCGACGCTTCATTCTTTTCAGAATTTAATGCTCTTTTAGATAGCGATATTGAAAATATTTTTAATAAAATTCTCTAGTACTTAGAGCTCCGCTCGGGGGGGTTTAACTTTCTCCAAAACCTTTTCTATGGAATTTCGACGCGTACTACATTTGATAGAGAACTTCAAGAGCTATCCAAATCACTATTCAGATTTGACCTAGCCACTCGACTTCATCGAAAAATTTCAAAAATACAGTGATTCTTATAATTTTTTCCAGCACTGTATAAAATTGATTAATTATGAACGTTTACATGAATTATTCGAACTGTATGATAAGTACTGTTATATAAATAAATTTTATAGTGTCTGGAACATGTTTATATGAAAAACAGTTATATATACGTTCATTTTTTCATTCTAAATGTTTGAATTTTATCAGCTAAAATTTTTGTCATTTGTTTAGTTACTTCATTGTCATTACCATTATCTTTGACAATTTTCAAATCATCGACTGTTAATTTTTTATCGTCGATACTTGTTTGTGAACCAACAAATAATAGCCCAAATGGAATCTATAACAGAAAGGAAGTAAATATTCTCGTACTAAGCTAGACAATTACTACTACTTACCGCTGCATCTTTCATCATACGCTTCATTTTATTATAATCGTTGTTGGTTAAATTCTTTCCAGCGTAATCGAAACAACAAGTAATGAAACTAGTCGAATCATTGGTTGATAAATGTTTTGTAATCTGAATATTTTCACATAGTTCTAATGTTAGACCTATAGCTACTTCGCCTAATAAATGCTTAACATGTTTTTCAAAATCATTTGTATCTTTCTCATTATGCTCGTTCTGGTAAGTATCATTGCCATTAACAATGATAAACCAAGGAAAAAAATAGTTATTTAATTCCTTGTCATGTTCATTTTCACTCGACGTAGTGCTTTCTGTTTCATTCATATCATCATCTTCATTCTCGCTGAAACTCTCAGTTGATTTGGCATCCTCTTCTTGTTCGGAGTCATCATCGGAATTTTCACCACTAATAGACTCTTCTTCTTCTTCTTCTTCATCCTCTTCTTCATCCTCTTCGGAACTTTCTGTATCGTTCTTTTGTTGTTCATCGTCATTACTGTTGTTTTCGTCACTACTTGAAGAATCACTGCTACTTTCACTAGCTTGAGTATCTTCTACGTGCTTAGGATGAACATGTTTCTTAGAAAAACTCTCAGACATGCTTTTTACTCACTTACTAAATCTTTTTCATATTACTTCTTTTTTGACAACAAAACTGCTTTATTGTTTTTTGTTTTATATGAAAAAGCGAATTAATTTAGGAGAAGAAAAAGCGAATGCCGTTTTCTTTCAAAAAGAAAAAAACAAAATTCATTTATAACAGAATTAAAATAAAACGGTTGTAAAGCTGGTTGACTGTTTCTTTCTTTCTTTAAATAGAAGTTAAACAGTAACTGTATTTTGTACGCAAATAAAAGAACTCGTGTCAGAATAAAAATTTATTCAAGAGGGATTTTTATGAACGTTAGGAGCAGGTCAGTTACTTTGAACACTTTGTACTCTCTATTAATGATCAGTTATTTTCCATTTTAAAATTCTCTAAAAAGTAGGTATGTTAATTGAAAGCCGGATTTAAAAATTTGAAAGTATCAAAAAGCTGAATAGCAGATTCAATAGAGAATTTTATTGCACATCTAATCATATATAATTTTTGGTTTGAGACTATAATCGTTTCTCAAAAAATAACTTTTTAAAAAGTTTGACCATTTACTGTCATGAGATGAAAAACGTTTATCAACTCAGTAAGGAAGTATGATGAAGATATATTATACGAATATAGAAAAAGAAAAGAACAATTAGTCTTAGACTCCCTCGGTAAAAAGTTCAGAACCAATTCTGCAAACGAAGGTTTTTTTCAGAACTATTTTTTCTTTGAAAACACGGAGTCGATTTTTGCACTTCAGTAGAACCGCCACTGAGCGAGCTTTATAAGTACATGTTGCTTTTTCTTCCATCGTGCTTTCTCATTAAGAAAGTTCATATTTTCTAGATCAGGAGCGCAAAAATCAAAATTCAACTAGTATTCTCAATTTTATTCATCAGGACTCACGTTTTATTTAATAAAAATATCATATTCGGAATCAGTGTCGCAAACTGAATCGAATGGTGTACTTCGTTAGTCTATCCGACTACTTTAAGTTTTTTAAATTTTTACGTTGAAAAACTGCAGAAATTTCCACTAAAAAAATGAGAATTAACAAAAGATTTCGAAATATATATAACAAGTATGAGGCAATCTTTAGCAAAGTTTGGGAGTGGCACTGTATTTCTTTGACCTGCTATAGAAGTTTTAGTGAAGCGTATGAAAAATGAAACTTCCAAATTTTGTTCGAAAAATATTTTTTCTCGAACAACAACCATGTTCTTTTAATTCGTTAGCGCGTTTTCTACTCTACAAAATCCAATATAAATAATATCTTCACTATACTTCCTTACTGAGTTGACAAACGTTTTTTATCTCATGTCAGTAAATGGTCAAACTTTTTAAAAGGTTATTTTTTGAGAAACGATCATAGTTTCAAACCAAAAATTATATATGATTAGATGTGCAATAAAATTCTCTACTGAATCTGCTATTCAGCTTTTTGATATTTTCAAATTTTTAAATCTCGCAGGGTCCTTTGCCTGAAAATGAATGTCAAGGTGAGGCATAAATCTTCACGATTTTTGTGTGTATAACAATTCCTGGTAGATATACTTTCTACCAATCTGTCGAAATAAGTAAATGAGGCGGCACTCGTTAATTTTTCAATCAAATATTCCGTGCAGTCCCTTGTACTTTTGCGCGGAGTTGAAAATATTCAGCATCAACGCTTTTAAAGAAAAACGAGATTACTCTTGGGAAGATCTCATGTTCTGAGTGAGCAGAAGTTTTCTGGTTTGAAGAAAATAGTTATATGTCTGATTTAGTGTGACCAAGTTTAAATCTCAACATTCAGCTATCATTCAAATATTGAATTTGCCTTAATGTATATACGTTTCACAGTACTTTCGTGACCATACACTTTCGTCATCGAATAACGATGATGAAAGTTCTGTTTTCAGTGACAAAACTTCTCTCGGCATTTAACAAAAGTTCTTGCGACATATGACGAAAGTTTAACCGTGGTTGAATAGTGGTTACGACTGTTAACCCGTTATGTAACGAAAGTGTCTGGTCTTTTAGACAGGTCGGCACTTTCGTCACACGTTGCATGAAACGGCTGAGATGAAATCAAGGTCGTAGTACAAAGTTCATTAGGTCCAAAGTGTAGTAGTGCAAACTGGATAGTCTAAACTTTAGTAATGTAAACTGTAACAGTGCAAACCGGAGGAATAACTTCTTGCTTTTTTCTTTACAAATATGGCATTTTATTAGCGAAACGCGTAAAAAACCTTCTGAAGTCTTTTCTAAAGTCAAAGTATCAAAATCAAGCGTCTATTGCGTTTGGAAGTAGTTCGGTCTGAAGTAGTCCACACTACGACAGTCCAAACTGGAGTAGTCCACATGTAAGTGGTTCTATGTTATTAGTAGCTTAAAGTTCTTTTTGAGTTGTGACGAAAGTTCGCAATGAGGTATGACGATAGTTGTAGGTATGTTACACAGTTGGTTACGAAAGCTCATCACTTGTGTGACCAAAGTGTGGGATGGTACTCCCCAAAAAACACCATACTGTTTCGTCATGTGTCACGAAAGTTCTTTTTTCTATGTGACAAAAAATCACGTGGCGAAAGTGCTATCACCCGTATATACAACATACAAAAAACTTTTTGAAACAATTCAAAAGAAAATAAATTCATTGTTGACACAACTAACAATATTTAAATTATTGAATCAACGTGGCAAACGTATATGTGATTTAATACAAGAATAAATTGAATTCTTATTTTAACAATTATTATAAGATATTTTCACAAAAATGACTTCAGGATATAAAGCAAAACAAGAAATGATTGACAACTTTCATTCACACTATCATTTGAACAAATCATATCTGCCAAAAACAGTCGAACTTGAAAAACGTATGAATCAACCGAGAACTGGTATAAAAAGGGAACGTTTCTTTTTCAACTTATTAATGAAGCATTGAGAAGATTCAGTCCCGTTTCGTCAACATGTTAATTAGTTTTCCTGATTTGTCGACACTTTATAGTATCAGCGGCTCACAGAAATGTCTCATCTCCCCCACCCAAAATGTTATCGATGAGTCAGGAAAAAAATTAATGCGTCGACGAATTTAGAATATACCATTAAGGACAGAAGATGTTGATGTTTTAACAGCATTACGTTGCTATATTCTTGAAAACTAGATAGGTTTGCAAAACTGTTTAGAAACTTTTTACACGCGGACCTAACACACTAAAAAATAATGTGTTGCAAATTGCGACATAATCATCTGCGACACCGGGAGCCGCTTGCGACACATTCCGCTAAGTATTTCTACCATAGAGAAAATCGTGGAAATTAAGTATTTTTGATCTGTTATTTGCTTTTGAGAATATTTTCAGTTCGTTTTGGGTGCACTACGTAATGTCGACGAGTTCAATCCGCCCGTAATATTCACAGACCTTCAAAATATTTAGTTCTCGAGATCGGAGATTAATAGCGTAGTCAAGGCCTAAGATTTATCTTTTTCGTCAGAGAAAAAATGTTTAACATAGAAAAAAGTTAAAAAGACTTACATGGGGATCTTTATCCACGAATAACATCAATTCAAAATTGGAAGAACTTAAAAAGCCCGAAAATTTTATCTTTTACGTATTGGCGCCACCTATAGCTTATCAAAATTTAAGAGAACTGGAGAAATATTCTAATGAAGACTACTAAAAATAGTAAAACATAAAATTCAGCAATTTTTTGAGCAGCGCAGATCCTGAAATGACCTCAAGAACTGTGTCTAAACGGCGACACAATCACATGCTATAATATCTTTTGTCGAACATTTGTCGCGATTGAGATAATCGCCAAACACCTCATCAAGTATGTCTAAAAATCACTAACTAAACCTGTTCTCCTCTATGTTTTTAAATGACAGAAACAACAACTGAACTGAATAGAAAGTACAACTATATTGAAAATTTAAACGGCTTTCAGTTAAAACTTTATTTAAAAGAGTGTAGAACATACATAATTATCTATTCATTTTATGTATTTTAAGTTCATACAGATAAGTCAGAAGTGAGAAAATTTCTGACGGCAGTCAAAAAGAAAAAAATCTAAAATCATGCAAGTTTAAAAACAAAACAAAGTATCATGCGACACATTCTTTTGCGACACAATTTTCTCACAGGAGCTGCGACACAAATTAAATGCACACAATATTTTTTACTGTGTTCAAGACGTCCAAATACTGAATAGGTCTTTGACTTTGACCTCGATCAAACATCATTCGCATACTCAGTTTTGGCTGCTACATCGGAAAAAAATACTTTCGAACAGATAGAAGAACGAAAAAAGGTTCGAATTTTTTGTAAAACTGAAGAGCTTTTCGAAATTTTATATCCTTCGAATTTCTCAATTTTTCTTCCTTAAAAAATCAAAAACCACTTTTACTTACTCAGCTCAATGCGCTCTATTCAACCAAGTTCAAATAAATGGGAAAAAAAATCTTACTCGACTTTTGAACTTCCGGCACCTTACATAAGTCGATTATGGATGATCTCAAACGGATTTCTATCAACGAGTAGATCAAAGGTTGTTGCTGAAATGCTTTCGGTCTATCAAACTGATATCAATACTCCACTACATAACATTATATTCGGTGATATTCCTCGTTATAATGGAATACCAGAGGAAGAGGAAATTTGATTTGATTTGGAAACAACATTTCGAATAACGAATGTGGACTATGATGCCAGTGCGGAAAAATGTCTTGTTTCAATGAGCAGTGAAAATAGTGATGAACATTTAATTGTACATTATATTTCAGTAGAAAGTGAACAATTGAGTGAATTAGATTTTGCTCTAATGTTTTCTTTGGGATCTTCTTAAATTCATAGGTCAATTTAGTAAAGCAATAGTATATTTAAAAAATTTATTACAACGTATAAGCAATGAAACAAAACGAATAGCTATTGATACACGATTAAACATTTGTTATTATTTGTTACTAAACAAACGGAATTGGGTATGATTTGTGCTCAGCGTATCGTAAGTGTATCGGTAATGATATATCATTTTT